CTTCGGGGGCGTGTCTGTGTAATTCTACTGTACGTGCGATCAACCTTGCACTTCTTCATGTTAGATGCAGGGGGCCAGGAGGGGTGGGGAGGGGGTCCTGGCCAACGAAGACCCTCCTCCCCAACCCCGTGAAAACGTACCCGCCCTGGGCCCCAGCGCGGGCAGCTGGGGGATACAATCATCTTCGTGTTCATCCCCATTTCATTTCGTGCTGTGCCATTCCTGGTGTCTGGCACAGCGAGGGCATGACCCGTACCCTCACGGATCATTCCACCTTGTGTTGGGTATGCCATTCCGTCGGTCTGGCATACATGGCACCAAAATTCATCTCATTTGACGTTATCATCAGCATCACTGCTTTCATCATATTCACCATATCAAGCTCGTGCTCAACCAGGCAAGGTCGGATATGCGCTGGCACCGTTGCCATCCAAGCTGTGAAGCCTCCAGGGAGGACGATATTTCTCGATACGTGATAATTCGAGAAGGAGGTCTTTTGTGGAAAGACGATGCAATGAGGAAATCATTGTGGATCATAAAGTCCAGGAGCTTGAAATAATTGGTGGTGAAAAGGTCGTCGTTGGGTGGTTCGCTGGGAAAGACTGCCTTTCCAATGTGTGATTGAAATTCCTCTAGGTCCGTGGGGACGATCCTAGCGTTAAAGTCTCCCATATATATGATTAAGGATGGCTTCTTCAAATTGTCGTGAAATAGCTGTAGGTCTTCCCAGAATTTGTCCTTGCGGGCTTCGTCCGCGACAGGATCGGATAGTTGGCTGGGCGCATACAGCGCTACTAGGTGCGTCGGCAGCGGCTGGGTACGTAGCGTATGTGACGCTATTCTCCCAGACCTGCATGGCTCGCGTATGTGGGGATTCATTGAACACCGGGAAGCGAAACAAGTGGAGCAGCTGGAAGGCCAGTTGCAATTCGGCGCTCTCGCTCAGCAGCGGTATGCACATTTTGCCCCTGCTTACATCAAGGTCGGCTGGTAGCGTCTTAGCTGCGTTGAGCAGGTGGCCGTAGCCATGGATAGTTGGAGCCGAACATCTTGGTTGAAGCACCGCGAAGCCACACTAAACCTCCTCTTCTTCTTCTGAGGCCAGAGTTCCATTCATCCCGACGGTCTGCACGCGGCATGAAGGGACAAAGCCTGTCCTCTGCCACATGCATCAACCGCAACTTGACCCTTAAGAGCAAGCACCTGCCGGAACACAAAGTCAGGCATGCCTAGCGCCCCTAGAGTTTTATTTTGCAGATTGCCTTGCCGCAAAAGACCTTCCCCAGACGATTTTACAAGCCTAAAAAGCCTTTTGAAGTTTTGCGAGCACTGATGGAGAGACCGAGGGACCAACGACGGGACTCTAACTGGGTCGAAGGCTGAGCACCGATTTTGGAGACCGCATTTTGCAGCGATTTCGGCTTCATCGATGCAGCTCTTAAGTGTCTGCACACAGTATATAAATTTTACAACCGACTTCAGCATGGGTGGAGATTCCTTTTTGAAAAGCAGGCAACTGGTTTTGACGGACACCCTGGCCGTGCCCTGGCGTCTGCCCTCCTTTGGCCGATAGAGCAGCAAGTATTACCTGAAATAACGCCCGGACTAGCGCTGAAACGAACGTTCATCCTGTGCTCACGTGATTTCCGCAATGAAATGTGGGAGCAAAATGCAACTTCCAATGAAATCGTCTCAATGGAGTGACCCACAGTTTTGGACGGTTTGGCGGGCTTAGAAACAAGCCCCGAACAACCCGTAGAAAAATGTGCGCCCTTGCAAGAACCAGCGTGGCGAGCTGGAAGCATCCTGCTCTTTTTGCTGAAGTTGAACAAAAAAGACCGATACACATAGAAGTTATCCGACGGCATCTGGCACTGCTTTTTCCATGCGGTGCTGCCTTCCAAATTTCTGCGTTGTTTGTTGCCACAAGCAAAAAAAACAGAATCACTTTGTACTTGCATGTCACTGTTCACGATTTGGTGCCATTCAAGCGAGACCTGGCCTGAGAAGCGTTGTCTGCACCCAGCACCAAAGTAAAGCCTTCAAAGTTAAATTGATATGCATCGAAAGCAGTACTGGCAAAATTTTCTGGACTTGTAAGACACGACACTGGAATCACATTCAATTTGTGTAGAGTTTTGCAAAGTGACTTTACAAGACCTCATGTTTGATAGACAATGTGGTTCTTGGAGTGTGCGTGCCCCAAAACCAACCAGTTTCGACCGGTTTGAGCTCTCAGATGCCCTAGTGGCATGTTAGACTTTTAAAATCGTCAGAGATCAACGGCATGTCATCTGATTCTGCTGTTGCTGCGGTCCACTTGAAGATGTTAGAAGAGTCTATTTTGCTACTGGTGTCCAGCAGTGAAAACTTCCACAAGGGGCGTACTTGCAGTGATATGAAGCCAAGATGATGCCAAAGCCGGTAGGATTTCTCCACAACATGAGGAAAGAAACTTGTTGCGTCTTCTACTGTCCAGCGGAAAATTTCGCATGGTAAGTGAAGAGAAAGCCTGTAGCTTGCATCTGGCCATGTTTGGCAAGAGATCGAAGGCTACATTTATCTTGAAAGTTTGTACGCTGAAGCGTGCAGATGTGTGTTTGCATTTCTGGATTCCAGAGTGTTCTTGTATGTTCCACAAAAGAAAATTGAATTGAAAACAGTTTCTGTTTTTTGGACTTCCAAATGCAGGGCCGGTTTTGGAAGGTTGAAAACAGCTTGAAAACGTTGCTGCGGACAAGGAGCCTTCTCAGTAGTGGCTTTTGACTTGTCTGTGTGAAGCTTTGACTCCGCGTTGCTCGAACAGGCTCAGAGTTGACGTGAAAAGTCCGTG